AGCTAACACGCCCCCAGAGAGAGGTTGAGAAGTAAGAGCTGTGCATGGCAGAGGAGGGAGAGATGGGGGCCATGCTGGGTCCTCATAGGGAGGGGGGCCGGGAGAGGAGGAGGGGATTGCTGTGCTAAGGCGGTGTCTTCGGGGGCTCAGGATTTGTAGGGAGAAAGCAGTGTGATGGGCTCAGGTTTCCAGATACAAACGCTTTGTGTCTGCCTTCTGAGAGTCTGCAGTCTAAAGGAGAGGGAATTTCGGTACGAACACTGTGGTGTGTTTTTATGCATGAAAAAGTCACCACAAAAAAACTTCGGCTTATGTATACTAATATGACAGTGTGCCAAGATCTGTCATTAAGTGAAAAATAGGGGGACAAAGTTATCTTCAAAAGAGTATTTTCCACATGAACCAATTTTTAAAGAATAGATATGTGTGCACGTGTAAGTGTGTGTGTGCTGGTATTTCAGTGAATATATATAAACACCTGTATTTGTATAGACAGTTTCTGGACATATGTACAAGAAAATGTGAATCTGGGAGTGGGTCTATGGGGAAGGCATTTATTTCTCAAATTATATCCACCTAGTGTATGTGTGTGTGTATATATATATATTTTTTTTTTTTTTTTTGCTGTACGCGGGCCTCTCACTGTCGTGGCCTCTCCTGTTGCGGAGCACAGGCTCCGGACGCGCAGGCTCAGCGGCCATGGCTCACGGGCCCAGCCGCTCTGCGGCACTTGGGATCTTCCCGGACCGGGGCACAAACCCGTGTCCCCTGCATCAGCAGGCAGACTCTCAACCACTGCGCCACCAGGGAAGCCCTAGTGTATATTTTTTGTTCACAGTGGGCATGCATTACTTTCTTGATTTTTTTTTAAGGGAAAAAATCTTAGACATTTTAATAATATTGTAGCATCTCTTTAGAGAGGAGGAATGGGTGGTTTTCGGCTCTGAAGACTGAAACACACACAGGATGCCTGGGTGTGACAAGCGTAAAGGTGTGTCAGATGTTTAATAGAGGATCCGAGAGACTTTTTGACATAGAAACATGGCTGATTGAGGCTTCTTTCAGGCTGTCTGGTGTTTCTTCGACACACCTGGAGCCAAAGCTGGCCCTTCTAGCATTGATCTGTACAGTTCTGGGAGATCTGTGCTTAAGCAGCTTACTGGATCAAGAAAGAGGTCTGGTTGATTACTTCCATTTTCATTTATCTCTATCTGAGTTATTGAACCCAGATAATGTTATATTTGATACACTAACAAATGAGACAAAAAGATGCCACTCAGGAGACAATTCTGTGCAGTTTTGGGGTAGGCAGAGATTTCTTAGTTGGGACACAAAAAGCATTGAGCTATAAAAGAAATCAATAAATTGGATTTTACAAAAATTTCAAACTTCTGCTTATTAAAAGACACTATTAAGAAGCTGAACAGACAGGCCGTGGACTCAGAAAAATATATCTTGCAAAGGACTTCTATCTAGAATGTTTAAAGAAACCTTACAATTCAATCGTAAGAAATTTAACAACCCAATGAAAAACAGGCACAAACTTGAACAGGCTTTCCACAAAAGAAGATCTACACATGGCCATTATGCACATGAAAAGATGTTCAACATCGTTTGTCAGTAGGGAAATACATGTTAAAACCACGAGGAGACACCACGACACATCTAGAAAGGCTCAAGTTTTAAAAGATTGACAAAAATGTGGAGCAACTGGAACTCATACGTGGTACAGCCTCTTTGGAAAAGAGAATCAGTCCTCTGTGAAGTTAAACATACACTTACCAGCGGTTACCCAAGAGAATGAAAAGCTGTTCTCAGAAGACTGGTAGAAAAGTTCACAGCAGCTTTTTCTGTAAATTCCCAAACTGGAATCAACCCAAATGTCCATCTACGGGTAGATGGATAAACAAATTGTAGTGTATCCATACAATGGGGTACTACTTGACAATAACAGTAATAGGAATGAACTGCTGACACCACAGCCTGGATGAATAACAGAAAGCAAATAACAGAAAGCCCAGAGCAAGGGTAGGGATGATGCCCAGCAAAGGGGCACAAGGAAACTTTGGGGTGATGGAAATCTGTATCTTCACTCTGCTCTTTACCTTGGTTATGGTGGTGGTAGCGCTGGTATAAAATTTGTCAGACTCATCAAACAGTACGCCAAGGATGACACTCACTGTATCCCCCAGGGAAGGGCTGGCACTGTCGTGCCAGGGTGTACACACCTGCACAAACTCATGATCACGTTTTCTCATACCATTTACAGTTCTCATGTTTGCCAATTCACCTACCAAGATATTCCTCCAAGGGAGGAATCTCGTGCCTTGCCCTCCATTCCATTCTGCTCATAGGGCTTCATGAGCAGGAACTGACCCATTCAGAATGGAGAGTGGGGCTTAGGAATTGATTATGAATGAAATAATGAGAAGACTGGGTGTTACATTTGCCCCAAATGCCTGGAGACCAGCAGGAGTGCCAAGATAGCAACAGAATTCTTATCTGTGGAGGCCTCAGGCATGGCAAATCTGGTTGGAAGGAAGGATTGGAGGGCTTGTCCTAAAGCATCCTGTTTTTACTTAGATTATATGTTTATTTGGCTTGGCTGGGGGGGGGGGGGGGAGGGGGCCTGGGCCAAGATAGCAACAGAATTCTTATCTGTGGAGGCCTCAGGCATGGCAAATCTGGTTGGAAGGAAGGATTGGAGGGCTTGTCCTAAAGCATCCTGTTTTTACTTAGATTATATGTTTATTTGGCTTGGCTGGGTGGGGTGGGGGTAGGGGTCATGGGTGGATGTTACGAGGGTCTGAAGCATTCCCCATGTTGCCCTTGGGGCTGCCCCACTTAGGTTCTGTGAAATCCATGTGATGTTAATACTACTTCCCTTTAAAGTTCTCTTTCTCTCCCTTCTTTTTCCTCCTTTCGTTACATCTTTCTATCTGTGGCCCTTTACACCTTCCTCCTGAGGTCGGATGTGTTTTTGAAGAGTACGGAACTACTTTCTTTATAGTTTTCTGGCAAAATAAGTAGGAAAAGACTCCAGACTTCTTAACTATATTTCCTCTTGTTCTGCCCGCATCAAACCTCCTGGTCACTCAGGAAAACTCCAGTGAGAGTGGCCTGTGGAGGTGGGGACCGTCCAGCCAGGCCAAACCTGGGTTGCCTGCAGCACTTGCATTCTCGAAGATGGCAGAGAACCTTTGCTTGGCGAAGGGAAACAGGCATGTTTTCTCATTCCTGAGAAGGGAAAGGCCCTTTCCAAAAAGAGGGACTAGGAGAGGAAGGCCTCAGGGCCCCCCCCCCAACCATGGCACCTCCCAGGAGCTGCTTGCTGCCCATGGCTTGTGGGGTACCAGCAGTACCCTGACACTGCGAGCCCTTTGTCCTGGTGGGGACATGAGAGGGCAGGGGCAGCGGCAACCCTGGGAGCACTGAGTGGAACTTTAAGTTTTTTGGTTCATCATTCAACTAATATATATATTTTAACATCAGTGGGAATCGATGACTGTTTTAGGAGTTTCACCCCAGGAGTTGTCAAATAAGTTAATTTGCCTGTTTCTCCTACAATATACTTCTTAAAATAAAATTTCACTCCATTATGAAGTGTAAGTAACGGACCTCCTGCAGGCACAATTGAAAAAGACCTGAAGAGTCAAGTTCCTTTGCCTTTGTTTGTTTTTTGGGGTTTTTTTCTGTTTTGAGACACTGTCTTCTGAAACCAGAGTCAACCATATTATTAATCACTGGTAGGGCTTTATACTGTATCACGTTACTCCCCTGGAATTAAACTGCACATATAAAGTTATGAAACATGTACTTTTTTAAACGGGAAAAAAGTTATTTTCTAACATAAAACCCCAGATAAAGTGCCATGGAGCCATTAGCAGTAAATTGAATTTTTTGGTATGTAATTTATACGAAAACTGACAGACAAGTGCGACCCCGCCACTCCGCGCCCCGTCATTAGTCATCGGTTTGGTGGACACGGAGGTAGTAATCTTCAAGGGCAGGCATTTGGATGTAGACTTCCTTTATTTGGACCGGGCTCAAGCGGCAGCTCCTGTCACTCGGCCTCGCTGCACTATTAGCGAATTTTACCCCAGGGCAGCTGGGACGCTGGGCTGGGGCAGATGTTCTTTTCAGCCTATTCAGTGACCATTCTTGGGGGTTGTTTACTGTTGCCATGGTGACTTTCATTTCCATAGCAGCAGAGCTGCTGTTTCTCAGAGGAAAATGAATTTAGTTATAAAAGGATAATATTTTTCTGTCGGTATATAACCTGCCATCTGTCAACCGGTGGATCAGAAAGGATTCAGAAACCTATTAAGACTGATAGCAATGAAGTGATGAGTTTTTTGGGTTTTTTTTTGGTCCCATATTAAAAGCAATAATAGATGTGGAAACAAATGTTGTCCCCTCAACATCAGAACTTTAATTTTTTTCTTTATATTGGTGTGTGTGTGTGTTTAATGCCTCCACCGCCTCCACCACTGCTGCGACAACCTCATAAAATACAGTTTACGTTCTGCTGACAAGTGGAAATGACCGAATATCTTGTTTGTATCTCACTAGATGCAGGTGTATTTAGTGCTTTCTTTTCTTGGTGCTGTGAGCTTCCCTGGTTCATTAAAGATTCCGGTGGCTGAACTTTCTATTGTCACCCCACTCTCTTCTCCCCCACCCCCGGGGACAAAGCTGTGCGGGTGAAAAGATCAGCAACTTATCAGGAACATACAGTGCAAATTATGAAATTAGCAAAATGCGAAAAAGAAACTGTGCTTTATCTGAAAAACTTGCTAACATGCCCCTTAAATCTCATTCTAGAATAACATTCTTCCTTGCAAATCCAAATGGGAAGAAAAGTCACCTTTGGGATAGCTCCTCTAGTTCCTGGAATTTTTTTCTCTGTTGCATTCATAAACTGTAACGTGCAGGGGGAAAAGCACCCACACACACCGGCCCCGTTGTAAATAATGTTGTTTATTGGTTGATTTTTCCAGATCCTGACATTGATGCTGCCAGTGCCATGATGCTTTTGAATACTCCCCCTGAGATACAAGCAGGTTGTGAGTAGATATTTCTATAGCCTACACAGCACCATAGTTTGTGAACTTAACCTTCTCCTTTATATACCAGGCCATAGGAAGCACTAATGCTCAAGCCAACCCTCCCTTATAGAATCACTTTAACCTACCTCAGTGCATGATTACATACATGTGCGCATAAAGATGCAGCTACGCATATGTATGAATGAATGCATAGGTGTGTTTCCAAGGTGAGAACGTTCTAATATAATTTCAGGGCTTAAGACTTGGGGGCAGGGAAGTGGACCCTGTAATGAGTCCCAGAGGAGAGACCCTTTGTCCTGCAGGAATTGTTCCTGTGAGTTTGTAGTTTCTGCTAGAAGAGGCTACAGGGGGCCAGCCTGACAGTCATGGAACTCAGCAGTGTCCGTTTTTAGACATGCCTCTCCCCTTGGGGACCTCATTAATAACAGGCTACCATTTAAGAGAGAGGAGAGGAAAATCTGGCGAGGCGGGGATGCAGGAGTTTGGAACAGCCTTAAAATGGAAACACTGTGGTGCCCCCCGCCCTGCGTCTTCCCCACCAGCTTTCCAGGGTGCCACAGACAGAAGGGCAGGGCTGGTTTAGCGAAGCAGGGCTCCTACCTTCATCTTCTGTTGGCCCTTGGGCAATGTCAAGCTTGAGACAACTCTTTTCCTAACTTGAACTTCTCTCCACCATCGGATGTTTTTCCCCGCCTCTGGAGCTACAACATTGTTAGAAAGGTCTCCTTCCCAAGTGATGACAAATGACCCAAACGCAGACATCTGTCCCCTCCTCCTCCCAACTTGAGGCTAGTTTCTCTGGCACATTCCACCCCCCACCAGAAGCCTGTTGAGCAGATAGCCACCACGGGCCGCTCAGCTCGCTGGCAGGACAATTGCGTCGCCGCCTCCAGTGAGTGAAACTCGCGCCGCGACGCCCACCAGGGCTGGCGCCCACCTGCCTCATTCTGAGCGCTGCATGGCCTCCTGAGCAAAGGGAATCCCCCGCTTCTGGAGCTGATAGGGTTTCCCACTGTTCTGGGAACATCTGTTCCCAGACCCTACCCAGGTGTCTTTTGATGTGGAGTTCCAGACCATCCCTCCTAGCCTTCTACTCGTCACAGCCTTCCAACAGCTTTAGGAAACTTGGCTCCTTCCTTACCTGGTCCTTTTTTTAAAGGACCCAAGAGATGCAGCCAGGCATTCTCGGGAGAGACTCATCCCTGTGCCGCGGGCTGCCATTACCTGATCCTGAAGGCACAGAATTCTCATTCTCTCTCTGCTAAACTCAGCTTGCCGGCTAGTTGACATAACGGCTGCCCACACCTCCGAGAAGGAAACACCACCGTAAGCAGATGTGTGCCGGTGCAGTCCTGTAACTAGCGGCTAACCTGTAGTGTGGGTTTTAAATGATGTTTGAAGTTACAAGGAAATGAAAAAAAAAAAATCCTCCGTTCTCAGATGACTCTTGCAGGAAGAGTATAGACCAGACTTTAATTCAGTTACGGTCTGAAATGGTTTCTGAAATCGAGTTGCGTAATTCATCATGAGGCAAGCGTACTGATTTTATCAGAGCTCTGTAAGGTTCAGGCACCTTCCTTTGCACCCAGCCGCCGCCCGCAGTGATCATTGGTTTAAAGAAATAACTTGGGGCTTCCCTAGTGGCACAGTGGTTGAGAGTCCGCCTGCCGATGCAGGGGACGCGAGTTCGTGCCCCGGTCCGGGAAGGTCCCACGTGCCGCGGAGCGGCTGGGCCCGTGAGCCACGGCCGCTGAGCCTGCGCGTCCGGAGCCTGTGCTCCGCAACGGGAGAGGCCACAACAGTGAGAGGTCCACGTACCGCAACAAAAAAGAGAAAAAAAGAAAAAAAGAACTTGATGAACTGGAATAATGGAGTTAGGCAGGAAAAGGCAAAGGGATTGGTCATTAAGAGCAGCTTTATAAAAATCCGTTATCACTAGATTCTTGACCACAGATAGAAGAGGAAAAGGGTTGATCCTGATTAGCTGAGAAGTTAATTGTTTTAATGTTCCCGTGGCTAAATGAACTTCTCTCCCTTAGTGTAACACAAACTGTAATAATTATTTTTTTCAAGGTATCCATAGTCTTATTTACATTGAAATGCTGAATTTGAGTTCTCAAAGCGCTGTAGAGTCACGTAGGGCTTTCCTACCTCGCTCTCACCGCTGAGAAACCTGGCTATAGCCTTTGTGAAGGCCCCTGCCAAGAGGGGGGTCCCAGGGTCCTGGAAGGAAGGAACCAGGAAGCCCATAAAAGTCGTGGAAGGAGACACTGGCAGGAGCAGCAGAGAAGTAAATTTAAGGACTGGGCAGAGGGTAGAACATCACCTTTATATTCACCTTCCTGTCTGAACCAAGCCTTTGTAAAATCCCCTTGAGGCCAAGCTAGGGCATACTCAGTTGGCCGGATGTAAAGCCCCCCAAAATTGGACCAGTACCGTCGGAAGGAAGTGAGTGTCCTTCCGTCCTACCGTCGGAAGGAAGTTGAGCATCCGCTCCAGGCACTTAGGGAAGCCAGGGGGTCCCTTCTCAGCCTTCTGAGAAACGCAGTCAGAGGTTTGTGTCTCCGGCGCCCGGCCTCTCTTTTCACTTAGCTCTCCTTTGCCTCACTCTCCCTTCCCCTCCCTGCCTAATGTTTCTTGTCCTGGGAAGTGATGCAGTACCTCGCCTCCTGAAGGGAGACGCATTCCATACATACGACCGTGCCCTACGCTGCTGGCTTTGTGCAAAGCCTGGAAAAAGTGAGAGGTGACCCCTCGACCAAGAGGTTCAAAGGCAGCAGACACCCAGGCAGCAAAAAAGAGAAAAAAAGAAAAAAAGAACTTGATGAACTGGAATAATGGAGTTAGGCAGGAAAAGGCAAAGGGATTGGTCATTAAGAGCAGCTTTATAAAAATCCGTTATCACTAGATTCTTGACCACAGATAGAAGAGGAAAAGGGTTGATCCTGATTAGCTGAGAAGTTAATTGTTTTAATGTTCCCGTGGCTAAATGAACTTCTCTCCCTTAGTGTAACACAAACTGTAATAATTATTTTTTTCAAGGTATCCATAGTCTTATTTACATTGAAATGCTGAATTTGAGTTCTCAAAGCGCTGTAGAGTCACGTAGGGCTTTCCTACCTCGCTCTCACCGCTGAGAAACCTGGCTATAGCCTTTGTGAAGGCCCCTGCCAAGAGGGGGGTCCCAGGGTCCTGGAAGGAAGGAACCAGGAAGCCCATAAAAGTCGTGGAAGGAGACACTGGCAGGAGCAGCAGAGAAGTAAATTTAAGGACTGGGCAGAGGGTAGAACATCACCTTTATATTCACCTTCCTGTCTGAACCAAGCCTTTGTAAAATCCCCTTGAGGCCAAGCTAGGGCATACTCAGTTGGCCGGATGTAAAGCCCCCCAAAATTGGACCAGTACCGTCGGAAGGAAGTGAGTGTCCTTCCGTCCTACCGTCGGAAGGAAGTTGAGCATCCGCTCCAGGCACTTAGGGAAGCCAGGGGGTCCCTTCTCAGCCTTCTGAGAAACGCAGTCAGAGGTTTGTGTCTCCGGCGCCCGGCCTCTCTTTTCACTTAGCTCTCCTTTGCCTCACTCTCCCTTCCCCTCCCTGCCTAATGTTTCTTGTCCTGGGAAGTGATGCAGTACCTCGCCTCCTGAAGGGAGACGCATTCCATACATACGACCGTGCCCTACGCTGCTGGCTTTGTGCAAAGCCTGGAAAAAGTGAGAGGTGACCCCTCGACCAAGAGGTTCAAAGGCAGCAGACACCCAGGCAGTGATGGAGTGTGGGCAGCCTGCCGAGGAGTGTTTGTGTGCATGTGTCCCGGTGAGGATGTGTATGTGCGTCACCCAGGTTCGGGGGTCCTGCCACTGCCCACGCGTGGGGAGTGTGGGTTCCTGTCTGCACAGAGCCTGCCTGTGTTCTCCCCACCCCCGTGTTGCTCCGTGGCTGGGCTCTGTTTATAGAGCTTCCTCGTGTGCTGCTATTTATAGCCCCTTGTTTTCACCTCCCAGGCTGTGTGATGCCCCTCCTTGAATGGGGGCCACGGGCCACCAACATAGTCTGTCTGCCGCTGGCACTCCCAGCAGTTCCGAGGCTGTCCTGGATGGTTTGAAAGTCTTTTCCTTTGTCCTCGCCCTTCGTAGCCAGTCCACTTCAGGTCACCAGATGGCAGTCACTTAGGTCTTTTTCCACTCATCCCCCCCTGCTCAGCATCTGCACAGCTAGCTCGGTGCAGACTGACCTCAGGCCGGCTCTGAGCTGAGTAGGTCATACAAAGGAAACTTCTCCAGAAGTTGACAAGAACCCCAGTCAGCCAAGACGCTTATCTTGGGGGGACCCGATCCTGCCCCAAGGATGCTCACTGCACTGTGTGTTGCTTGAGCTGGACTCCCTGTGGGTCCCCTCAGCCCCTCCCTGTGCTCTGATGCTTCTCTTTCTGTGAGGCAGCAGTGCACATCTAATCAAAACCTCAGGCCACAGCACTTTGTCTCCTCTGGTAGCACCAGCGGTAATGTTATCTTTCTCGGACTTTCCCAGATTGCAGTATGGGGAGCATTCTACAAGGTGTGCCATCGTGTCTCAGGTGCTCTGTAAAACACTATTTCCGGAAAAATCCAAGCAGGACACTGCTTCCTCCTTATCTCTTGAACTTTGGATTATGCTTCCGGTCAAGTCCATCCACCTACCCCCGCCCCCCCAGTAAAAAAGTGTCTGTGTAGACGAATTCCAGCTTCTAGAGTCTACTTAAATACCTGCTTTGCAGTTCCCCTTCGACAAGCCCTGTGAGTCATCTTTAACCCCAGTGGAGGAATTGTTATTAAGTCAGGCAGGTCAGATCACCGTTACTCATCTTCAAAGGCTTGCATGATCCCAGGTTGGAATGTTCCAGAGAGGAACTCTAGGTAATAAACAAAACAACAAAATGGGACGGAGGGGGGAGGCGGAGTTCTGCCTCCCCCTCCCCAGAACTAGGCAGTGTATGGATGCACCAGCCACCTGCAAAGAAGGG